CAAGACACTGGTAGACTTGGCATAGAAGAAAGGTGTCTGTGACCTGCTTTATTAGTGGGAGCGTCATTACAGGGAGCTGAAGGCTGACTCATACTCCTGGAGGAAGAGTCTGTCTGTCTAACGACCTGGATCCTTCTCAACGTCAACAGAAGCTAAACAGGGTGAAAGAGTGAGGGGGGGGGGAGGCAGGGGGGATCATGAAGCACGAGGCAGGGAAAAGAAATCACAGCGGTTTAAAAAAAACACATGGCACCGCAGGGAGGCGGGCGAGACCACAGGGCAGGGCAGGGTGGGCCCGCGCAGCCCCCCAGACCCGGGCGCACAGAACCCGCGCTGGTGGGGCTCCGCGGGACCGAGTCGGCACCCTGCGCCCCACCCCAAGGGTCTCCCTCGCTTCCGTGCGGCAACGTAACAGTTCTCACAGCAGCGCCTGGCTGGACAGCACGCACACGCGCTCAGCTCTTCATCATCATCATCATCATCACAGTCACACACTCTTTGAGACTCCCAGATGCAAGGTATCTTTTTCCAGGTGACAGCGCAAGCAGGGGCGTGTGTTTTTCAGCATCACGCAGGGAACCCCAGTCGGCTAGCTGAGCCCCATCTGCGCCCCCCCCACAGCCGGGGGTCCGGAAGAAGAGGGGGTGTGTGGGGTCCCCTCGCCCAGTCCTCCCTGCCAGCGCAAGGGCAGGCCATGAACTGGTACTGCACCACCATCCAAAACGGGGCAAAATCGCTAGGGAAACTAACCCAAAGTGGCCAGTTGATGTCACCTTGGCAACCGGGTTCGACCAGTTAAAAGTCACCCAGGCCCCCTGGGGACACCCATGGCTGCCCGGGGTATCTACTGGGGCACCGAGCCCTCTTTCCCAGTTTGAGAGGCCCAGACCACCGCTGGGCTCTCAGTTCTGATGAAAAAGGCTGCTGCTTTTCTGATTCTTTAATGTTTACTGGTGGCTCCAGGAAATAAACGCTCTTGGCACAGACCTCCGAGTGGGGAGCTGCCTCAACATGCACAGGCCACTAAGGAACAGGTGAAGATTGATTCTGGGCTGAAAGGAAAAGAATAAAGACACAACGTTTCTCCCTGTCAGCCAAAACCTCGCGTCTCCTTTCAGCCCAGAATGAAGCTCTCTCTTATCTTCTGGCCAAGACATTAGGACACACATCTCAGACCCAGCTCCCAGTATATCTACCTGTATCGTCAATTAAACAACTGCAGGATTGTGTTAGAGGCGGTTTTCAGAAAGGTCTTTCACAGCTTGAGGGCATCAGAATGCAACATGAATAGACTGGTGTTGTGGCTCAAAGGCCAGCCGGCAGCTTCAGGAGGTGTCAGATTAACTTACCGCGGTGCCACAAAACTACCTCTGCCGCAGCACTGAAGAGACAGAAATACAACACATCGGAACTAAGAAATGCAGAAAATCAGTCTCTGAGAGAGACTCTGGCGTGTACATTTTCACCTGACAGTCAAACATGCTTTTAGTTACAGTGCGTGAGAATTCCTGCAGCACAATAACACTATTTCACTTTACTACGAGCATCACAAAAAACCTTTCTGCCCAGCGATACCATCGAGCGCTGAAATAATAATGACTATGGTTCTTAAGCGCACTGGAAATCAGATCACTTGTCAACTGCAAAAATATCCTTGCAATTCTGAAGCGCTTTGCATCCCAAATAACCTTACAGCGCTTTGAATAGTAACTTGGTACACGAAACTAAGAATTAAGAAAGCCCACCTACGCTGCAATTTACCGATCTAGCGAAAAGAAGTTTGCTTTACAAAAAAAAGCTTTGCTCGGCACTTAATAGGACGGGTCTGAGGCAGGAGGGTGAATCGTTGTCGCGCAAGCGCTGCGGTTACGAAGCGCCGTTAAATGCTCAGCAGAGCGCAGCCCGATTTGAATTAGCAGTCCGTGCAAAATAAAGCCACCGGCTTGCATAATCAGATCTTCGCAAGAACAACAAAAAAAGAAGAAATATAGCACCCACGGGGACTCACGAACTCAAAACTCCGGCTTGGCTGCAGGCTGGCAGAACCGAGATCGGAGGAAGAGGGGACTGGGCGAGGGCGGGGAGTCGAGCAAATTCGAGCAATCCCTCCCCGTTTCGAAACCCTCAGACGCCCGGGGAGCAAACCCCGATGTTGTCCGCGCACGGAGGCCATTACGCTCTCGAAGTGCGCGCTTCTCCTCCGCCCGCGGTGGGCGTCTGCCGAGCGGCTGGGCGCTGAGGCGCTCGGGTTGCTGCAGCCCGTCCGCCGTGCAGCTCTAGCTGGCTACCCGCCTCCTTCCTCCATGTTGCTCCCCGATCGCGACAGAAACCCCAGCGCTGGCAGGGGAGGGGGGGAGGAGGCGGCGTGCAGGGCTCCCCGGCCGCACAAAGCCGTGGGCAAGCGACCCACGGGATGAAACTGCGTCACGCACTCGCACACACAATTGCACGGGTCCTGCAGAAGGCATGATCCCCGTGCGTCTGCAATTCCCGTGTGTCGCTAGGGCACGCACCAGCGCCAGCCTCCAGGAGCAGAAAACGCAAACCTACCTTTCAGCAGAAGAAAAGCGATGCTCGGGTAAAAAGAGAATTAAAAAAAAAAGTTACTGCGATTTTGAACCACTCGGCCCTCGTCGTTATCTCCGGCCCAACGTGTCTGCAGAACCTGCGATTATTTTTTTAAAATAATAAGTTCAAAATTCACGTCTCCCTGTTTTTCTCTCCCTCTATTCTCGACACAAAAGGCACCCACAGCCTCATCGACCCGCCACCTCGCGCCACGCACTGCGCAGGCGCCCCGGCGGGCCTGGGAGGTGAAGGGTGCCGGGAAGTGTAGTTTGTTTTTCTAACAAGGCATTCCCCCCTTCTTCAAATTCAATGAGCTTTATTGGCATGACCGGCGAAATACAATGCTTCCGAAAGCAATAACCGTTGGTAAATATTGACAAGCATTCAGGACAATGAGATAATATTACTCGAGAGGCCCACTCTGTCCCTCAGGCACTGACCGAAGATCAGATACTGGACTGTAGCTCTATTGAGTTTCCCCTCCCCTGAAGTAGGATAGGAAGTTGGTCTGATTCTGGCAGGTGCGGGAATTTGTGGGTTTGATGTCTTTTCCTGTGGCAGAATTGAGTAATTTCTTCCAGTGTATCAGAAAGTGTACCTTTGTCTCCAGTTTTTCATGCTCTCTGTGTCACTCAGTTTCTATGGGCAGGCTGTGGTCACTGAGGCTGGCCTCCGTCAGGGTCTGTTTCACCGTGCGGTCACTCACCTGTCCAGCGTGCACTGTCCTTTTAGGATCAAGTCACGTTTGTGTTGTGCTGTTTGTGTGTGTGCGTCCCCCAGGGGATGAGGTCTTTGCACTGCGATTGGGCTGACTCTGATCTGGGGTGTTTTAGCTGTGCTGCCCCGAGGTTGGATAGTGTCGGTGTGATTCAGGACTGGCAGGCTGAGAGCACTCATTTCTTTTGTTCGCAAGCCGGTGGTAAAGTCAATGAGGTCGATAAATTCGCACCCAGAACATCGGCAGCGCGACGTCTGCATCTGATCTTTTTTATATCGACAGCACGTCTTCAAAAAACAGACGAACGAGAGCTGTGTATACGTAAACGTGACGGTGACTGTGGCTAACGTTCCCAAAGTCCCAATCGGAATGGAAGTTGCATCCTGTCTAGGACACTACAGCGCTAACATTAAATAGGCATAAAAAGTAGAGAAAACTACAACTCCCAAGGAGCCACCGCGCGTCACTGACGGAGAAAAACAAATCGCATCGCCCATGAAAGGACAGAGCAGAAGAGTTCCGTGTCTCCAACTTTGACGACAGGCCACGGCAGTGAGTAACAAGGGAGCTTTAACAGAAGGTATGGGGTTTTTCTAATCACAATTAAAGCATTGTGATATTACGTACTTTCAGAAAAAAAAAACAGACGAGGAATTTGTATTCTGTAGCTTATTCCTGTAACCAGTGGCAATAACCTCTTACTGGTGACTGTAACTGCCCCTCACTATGAACACGCGTGGTCATTTGAGCGCTGTTGTTGTGGGATATCTTTGCTTTGCTTGCACGTTAGTTTTGTCGAAGGGCATTGATATTGTGGTTCAATATTCATCCCCGTTTTTAAGGTGCAAATAAGTCCAATAACAGGTGCTGGTATTCTCAATGCTGAGTCAGGTGTGTTCTTTCGTACTTGTTCAACGTCTCGTCGATGATGATGATAATAATAATTGAAGGGTTAAAAAGTCTTTCTCTGGACAGCATGTTCAGCAGAGCACCAGCTGCGACATTAAATGTATCTGCTGTTGATAAGACCAGGGGCCTGCCGACAAAAAGCATGTTTTAAAAATCCCAAGGAATTATTTTTGTGAAGAAGGCCAATTGTAACTACATGCTTTTAGAAAACACTGATAGCTTAATTACGTAGACATCTTCTGATTAAAGTAGAAGTTTGCATAACAAATAGAAATTAACTAAGATTGAAGTATTTTTTTTTCTTTTTGAGACTTAAGCTCTTTGTATTCTTTATCAAGTAAGTGTATAAAAGGTCAGCTGTAACTTTTCGTGTTAGAACTATCTTCCTAATTCTTCCTCTCTTTGGCCAAATATACAATAAACTCCTCTTCTGCTTGACAACAAGGTCTGTGGTGGATTTTTACTCTACAAATAATAATAATAATAATAATAATAATAATAATAATAATAATAGTTCTCTGTAAATCTCTCTCCTTCCTGTCGTGCCTGTGTTTTAGCAGAAGACACTAGGCGCAGGTGACACTGCACAGGACAGTGACCAGCTGGGAACAGGAGCAGAGATGTGAATTCACAGTCTCCCAGCTCTCACACAGAGTCAAAGAGTGTAGGGAGCAATGCCACTGTTGGAGACCGAGTTAAAGAAACGTACTGTGAGTATAACTAGAGTCGACAGTCTTCATTATGAAATATTTGAAACCCTGTGGGACCAACCTGTTAAAAATTTCGTATTTGGTCCTGACCTTTCTGACAGAGACCGAGCAGTGTGCTAAAGAAGGGGGAAAAGTCATTTGGACTTACTCTGGCAGAGTTGTTTCTTGTGGTTTTTCTCCTTGTCGAATTGTTCTGGGCCTGTGTTGGTGAGGGCAGGCTGCCTAGAAGGTTCTGCACTGTGGGGGTCGGTGGAGGACAGGTTGTCTTTGAGACAGAGGCCAGATGCAGGACAGAGTGGCACCACAGCGACTGTGCTGAAGAGGAGAACGGTGTCTGCCTCACACCTTCTTCCGTCTGGGTCTGCGTCCGGTGGGAATCTCTCCCATCGGGGGAATCAGTCCTACCGGAGAAGTCGTGCAGAAGGAAAAAAAAAGTTTCTTTTAAAAAAAAAAAGAATAAACCCAAAAGAAACCTAGAAAAAATACAATTATATTTTGTTATGAGTTATGAATATCTAAATTCCTCTTCCCCAAGTTGGAAATAGAGGTGTCAGCAAACATTGATATCTTGGGCAAGTTAGCAGTTTCAGAAAGCAATAAGAGGAAACATTAAGGTCAAGACAGGTTGTCTCGTTGTGATATCTCAGGATTCAGCCCAGGGTGTTTCTTTTCTTCCCAGAATTCTGTGACCTCCGTGTTGCTGCCTGTTTTTGCCCAATGATATTGAAGGAGGAGCCCGAGGATTAGAATGATCAGAAATCAGGAGGAAGACGTAAGAAAATGTCTTTATTTCCGGTAACTGAAACTGTACAGCTAGACCAGGTCAGGGGCCCAAGCTCCACCCATCTTCTCCATCCTTAGGCACTGCTTTGTGTTTGCTGGCTGTTTCACACACCTCATCTTCCTGGTCCTTGTTACTTGGTCCGTGAGTGTCCTGTGTCTGCTGCAGTATTGATCATACCTTGATCAGCACTTCCAACTTGTCTGAACAATTTCTCTTGACCGTATTCAAGGGGAAAGTTTACTTTTATCGGAAGCTGCCTGACCCAAGCCCCCTCTCTCTCCGCTCTGTTGTGTCTCCCGTGCAGGAGTTCATCGCTGTGAGGGTCCAGGATCCAAAAATACAGAACGAGGGATCCTGGAACTCCTATGTGGACTTCAAAATATTCCTCCACGTAGGTACCGCCTTTACAGTTCCAGACGTGTCTGAATTCCGCTGTTAAAAGTGTCTCGGCTGGGACCTCCTGCGAGAACTTTAATTCCATGGAGAAGTGAGTCTGCAGACAAACGCCGCTGTAGTTTGGCCAGAGTCCTGTCACTGGATGCACTGGAAGGGGTCAGTGTGTCTTGAAGCCAGCTCCAGGCTGAGTGTGGGGATCTCATGTCTCCTGACCGGGCCTTCATGAGGAAGGATTAGCTGTTAATAGGGGGGATGGTCCTAAGACCGTTTTCTCCTTTAATTCGCAGTATCCAGTGATCTGGACTTTGCTTTAAACCTCTTAACTTGGGTAGTAAAGTAGCCCAGTGGGAGAGGCTATTTTCAAAGGGATGGGAGCACTGCAGACTCACCCCTTGGGGCAGTATTGGTCTGTGTCACTGTGGAGGCAGATGGGTGAGGATAACCCCTCTTCAGAAGACCGGGGAAAGAATCAGAGTCCGGGCTACGGAGCATAAGCGATGATCAGGCCTTCATTTCAGCTGCAGTTCAGGCGCCATCCAGCAGCATGCGAGGAACAAAAGGCTTTTGTCTCCTTTTTCTTTCTCTCCCTGTTTCCCTTGGCAGAGCTCTCTTTACAGCCAGATTAGAGAAGTTACAATCCTCACTCCCACACAGCCCCCGTTTCCAGCAGCTGGGTGACAGCCCTCTCTTGCCTTCCTGTGATCAAAACCTGAATTTGTAGCTGCCCGCAGTGTGCACATTATGTGAGAATCACAAGAATATATTGTTAACAAAAGAAGCATTTTAAACACAAGCTTTTTACAGATGCAAGGTCACTGGGGCTTAGATTATAGGCAGAAGTGTTATGATTGCAATATTTTTTAGATTAGCGCTGTGTTATATAAAAGATAAATGAAAAAAATCCTTCAACTGCGAATGCAAGCGTCTACTCTAGCTCAGCTCTGAGAGGCCCAGAGCCATCTGCACCAGTTTCTCTGCCTTTTCCCTGTTCTGAAAGGGTCAGTGATACAAAGAGATTGTGAAAACCTACTGCTCTGTGCCCTGGGTGGGCACAATGACCTAGAGTCTAGCTGACCTAAACTGCAGCCCGTATCAAACAGCAGCAAGGAAGCCGGCCCTGTCTTGTTCTCACACTACACAGGGTGCTGACCAGTGTCAGCCCGCTCAGGAAGCAGTGATGGTTCCGCTTTAGGGCAGAAATCAAGCAAATTTCACCTCGTGAGCAACAGAGAGGCTGTGCTGCGACATCAGAATATATGTAGCTTGACAGACACTCTTCCCTTTAAAATGGGCCCTTTTCCATGTGAAGTACCTTACGGTCCTAAGGAACTTTGGGACTTTCCACAAAGCTCAGATTCCACATCTCGCTTCCTGCTGCCTCCAAACAGCAGCTCGTCCGCTCTCCCTAGATAATAATTGATGGCTTCTTCAGCAAGAGGAACTTGCTCAGTGAGGAGACTCTTTTGCCTGGGCGGAGGCCGGCGGGCCGGTTCTGTCTGTATAGAGGCACATTTGTGCTGGAGCACGCAACAGCGACTGGAGCGAGGGAGGATATGCACAGCCTGGTTTGTGGTCGCTGGTGAGAGACGGTGCTTCGACTGCGAGACTCACTGGTGGGTCGTCTGTAAACCCCGTTCAGACACTGACATTTCACTTCCTAAAGAGTGCAACCTGCAGATCTCAGGCTCTCCTGTTTATTGTTTGGTTTCCTACTTGTACTGTATCATCTGTGTTAAAAAGCGTTAAATATTTTAAAGCTGTTGTGTGGCTCAGTTGGGCTGCTTTTAAACTCTTGTAAGGAGTTTAAAAGGGAAGGAGCCTTGTTTAGTTTCTGTGTTGCTCTATGATTATTATTTCTATAAAATTATTGGCGCAGCTGCCTCACAGCTCTTGGGTCCTAGGTTCGATTCTGAGAGCGTGCTTGTTCTCCCTGTGTTTGTGTGGGTTTTCTCTGGGGGCTCCTGTTTTCTCCCGTGGTCCAAAGACATTCTGTCCTGTTTAAATGGGGTCGCCCGGCTTTTCCTGAGGGACGGACAGCCAATCCAAGTTGCAGCCCGAGGAATTAAAGGCGTGCAAACCGAGCAGGCAGCTGTTAAAGAGTGTTCCGACGCCCAGATGCACCACACGCGTGTCTCCCGAGGACTAGAGAGCACTGATCTCCCATCTGTGCCTCCCCCCCTTGCCAAAACGGACCCGCCCCAGAGGCCACTGAAGAGATCTCAGCCCCCGGAGAGAGAGAGAGAGGGAGAGAGAGATTTCACTCGGCACTAAATCAGCGTCCCTTCACTGTGGCTTAATCTCCGCAGACCAACAGCAAGGCCTTCACCGCCAAGACCTCCTGTGTGCGCCGGCGATACAGCGAGTTTGTGTGGCTGAAGAAGAAACTCCAGAAGAATGCCGGATTAGTGTGAGTATTCAGGGCTGTGTGCCAGACTGCGCCACTGTTGTAGTGGTGGCAACACTATTTAGTGCTATTATTTATAGCTGCT